GACAATACATTTCACAAATGAATTAATGGAGGTTCAGTGTCTGGTGGCGACTTAAGGTTAGTTTGTTGGTCGTGACATTTTGCTGGTGACTATATAACCACTCGATTTAATCAAACTTTACAATCAAGGCTGGTGTAAGCGAGCGGTCTTGGACTACCATGTAAATAAACTTAAATGCACTATAAAATAAAATGAATTCACTAACTCATTTAGATAGGAGTTTTGGCAGTTTTAACTGCGCAAAGGTTCCAGGTTGCCGTCTTCAACTGCATTAAGTGCTCACTGCCATAAAGAATGCATTAGTTTAGGCATGTCTTCATAAGTAGTGACTTGCACCGAGAAACAATTTCCGACTAGACTGGATCCACGATAAATAAGTTTTATGAACGCACATCCAAGTAGAAGGAGATCGGAAAGCATAAAGATTCCGGACAAGTAAACTTGCTAACGACAAGACCATACTCGAAGCATAAATAAGCTATAATTGATCAAAAACTACAAAAGTTAGAGGTTTAGAGCTTTTGAGCTGCTATAAACTACTTGTAGCTAAAAATAGCCGTGATTACAAGGTGGTAAAGAGGGGCGGTTACGAAACACGCTTCACGAAAAATAAAACGGTCAAATCACGTTCCACGAAATAACCCTTCACCACTTCAAGATTCAGGACATCGACGGACACAGAAAAGAATTCAAAGTAGAAAAGCTCCTTATTTATGATTTTCAGTTTTTGCGGAAGCTGAAGAGATCTCTCGCAGCGGGGTCCATCTATTACCGTTGAAGCAAATGAAAAATGACTTCATTATACGAAAAATTACTCATTAGTGTATTTATGAGAAAAACTAAGATACTGTATTTTGAATAAATTTTTACAACGGTAGTAGTATGAATATTAATTTTTTTTAAAATGAATTCATTATTGTTAGCTTATATGTATAAATATTATCACATCACTACTACTTTTATTGTTCTATTTTTATTGTAATTTATGCTTTTTTAAATATATGTTATATATATATATATATATATATGCATATTTCATATTTCATATTTTTTCTATATATTTTCTATTTTTTTGGTAATACCTGTAAAAAGCATCGAGAATTAGTAGTTATGCGTTTTTCAAGAAATAAATTATTATTTATTATTATTATTATTATTATTATTATTATTATTATCATCCTCATCATCATCATCAATTTATGAGAAAAACTAGGATACTATATTATGGATAAAAGTTTACAACAGTAGTATAGTATGAATAATAAGATCATTGCAAAAAGATATACGAAACATTGAGGAGCTAGTCTAGTCTAGTTTGCTCACTCTGAGGGTATACTTCCGTGTTGTAAATATGATGTTAGCAGTTTTATTTCTCGGCGATTATTCACTACTGAGGAAGTGTAGAAAATATTAGGTATTGGCATCTATTTGCTATAATTTAGGTATTAGAAGCTCGGTTTTTTTTCCTTCTTCAGACTGTCAGAGTATAAGTGTGGTCCCAAAATAAGGAGAGTGGAGAGAAGGGATTGTCACTTCAAGGTTATTGAATGTAGACCTTGACAACGGAAAAGGCGAATGATTCTGGTGCGTCACTTCGGAATACTTCCTGATTCGGCACGACGTTTGATGCTTGCTTATAACAAGCAAGGCGTATCAGATCTCTATAATCTTAAAAAGATAATAATGATTCTATATTGTGAAGGAGAGGTTATGGCGTTGGTGCGTAGGCTTGATATTCTTATGAAAATCAATACCAAACGTAAGAGTCGGTAAAACAGCACCGGTGTATGGCTTATCTGCTCCGCCGGTAGTGTGGCATTGACTAAAACAAACACTTGAGATTAACGATTTATCATAGACAGGAATATTGACTTGATAATATAAACAAAGACTGAAAACTGCATATCATTAACAAGTCAATGAAAGACAAAATATGTGAATAACAAACGACAATTATCATTAAAATGAAGTTATAATAGTGAAGATGAACTTGCTATAAAAGACAACGACTGAATTTGGTGGCAAATGACAAATGTATGGCGGAATAATGGAATATCCTGAAGTCATCTCTCTGCATTTTGAATCGTTTAGAACGGTAACGCAATTATATCGCCGGTACCCATACTTTATAATCAATGCCCCTAGTGTATTATGGGATATCTTTAAAAAGAAGATGTCGTTAAAGGCGCGGTTACACGGAGCGATTTTCTCTGCAACTTGGTCTCGCAAAGGCGCGACACAAGTTACACGCAGCATTAATAATAATAATAATAGTAATAATAATAATAATAATAATAATAATAATAGATTGATAGATAGCAGTAACATTTCCATGAAGTGGCTCATAGTCCAATAAATGCACGGAAAGTGATTATTGCGCAGAAGAAAAACCGGAGGGCCGCTGGAGAGAAACCCTCGAAGCACAGGAATGAGCCAATAAGCAACTTAGGACTGTCGTATCACGGGTATCAATAATAAAGATGAGATCGGTCTCACCAATACCTACGCCAAAGGTGCTCTCTCGTAAATAAAACTGAAAGCGATTTATTTTATGCAATTAAAATTTATTCTAACTAAGAATAAAAGAAAATGATTGACGGTTGAAGTCGTTTAATCAAAGAACGATTCAGCTGGTGTAACTTTAATATTTGTTAGAGGAACAAACGGCGAGGGAAGAATAAGATGTTCAATCATGCTGGAACAGCTGATAAAAAAACATCCATTGATATGAATAATGTTACATAAACAGAATAAAAATAAAACAAAAACTAATAATCTGCAGCTTTGGAGCCATGGCGGTGTTACTAAAGTATCAAAGCGATTAGAAAAATGTTTGAATTAGGGTCTCGTAATATTTGGTATATAGGTCTTGTTTCCATGATCATTTGTTTCTCGTATAAAGTATAAACAAATGGCTGGGGCCGGAAAAAATTGAATTTAAAAGTTTCAATATTCAACACTTGAAATGCCAATAAGGTAATCAAAAGAAGGTGGAAAGCTCATTGCCTAATTTAACTCTCTTTACCTAATACAACAACACCCACGTAATAGAGTACATTACACCGGATCACTAAACTAAACGTCTCGTTTGTCACAGAGAACCGTTCAGTTGACTTTTTCAAATATCCAGAACATTATTTATAAGCAACAGAGTTTCTCAGGGTGAAATCCAGTTAAGGAACGACTGAGAGGTAAACAAGTCGAGATCTCCTGGCCTAAGTGCTTAATCAGGCGTAAATTCACACAAAAAGATTTTGGGATACGGTAAAAAGTATGGGCTTTTACAAGTTATATTGAAATTAGTAGAACAGAAAAATAATTACCATATAGCTGGAAGAAAATTAAATTTGTAAACTCTGAAGCTTGAAGAAAATAAATTCAAAACTTGCGAAGATATGATTTTTGAAAAGTGAGAATTTCTTTCCAGGGTGTTGGTTATTATTCTTCTGTAAGATTTGGAGACCCTTGCAATTACATTTTACTTCTCCGCTTTATTTCTCGTTACGTCGAAGCGGTTTTAAGACGGCCTGGCTAGCTGTACGGTTGAATGTTGGATCATTGTTATCCTTGCTTTACAGATAAAGCTTAGCAAGTAATTATTCCGTTATGTAAAATTAAGTGTTTTAAGCGGTTGATCGTGCGTTTAACTACGTGCTAATGATATCTTGCGATATTCAGAGAAATTATTAGGTAAAAGTTGGTATCCAGGAATGCTAAAAACTTGTATAAGTGATCAAGAAATATAAAACGCGCGCGCTTGTCTCTGTACTGTGATATAAACACGCTGGGAGCTGTAGAGCACGAGAGGAACAAGCTTAGGAACACGAGGTGCCGTAGCCTCAAAGCCAAGTGTTTCTCTTGAGACATAAGCAGCCGTTTTGTATTAGGTTTATAAAATATTTTTGGAGACTTTGCGCGAGAGTGTGTCTGTCCTCTGATATAAACATGGTAGGCCAGTTAATCAGCGCGCGCTTAATATTCCAAATATTTTATAATGATCAATATAACATTATATTTTTCCGCGTTATTATAAACATCCTCCCTTGTTATTCTTGATGACTTAATTTTTTCATCTTATGATAATTTGTATTTTATTTCAAAAGTCATTAATTTTACATCAAGTAACGGTAATGGCAAAGACGGTAATGCTGGTGGTGGTGATGATATCATTTTTAGATAAACCTAAATAAAATCGATGACTGACCATTACTGTGCTATTACATTACTTTAAAAATCTCTTTTTGCAGCTGAATGTAAATGTATACAGAATGTTCACATGAAGTTACTTATAATTTTCAAAAGAAAATGAACTAAGAGAAGAAATCTCTGGTATTCCTGCTTGTAACCATCATGTACACCGTTTGATGCTATTCTTAGAATCACATTTGCCATCATTTGTTTTTCTGCGCGCGCTCTACGCTGCTTGCTTACGTATTATGTATCATTATTATTTTATATTAATTAATTATATATCTCATGAAATCCAGATGATTTGGAATCTAAGCGCGCAATGCATTGTTTATTGTCAAAGCGAAAATTTCCAAGTATTTTCTATCATCTTTTATCAAACTACATATTTTTTACCACCGACGAAGAATACTATTTCTAAAAGATATTTGGTGAATCTTTCCGCGGATAAGTTTTATTTTCTTAATTTTAGAAAAAAAACCTGTTGTTATTGAGCTGCAACTGGAATATAAAAAACATTGAGCTACGAATAAAATGTTCGCTGACTGGCTAACTCGTTCTGGCTGAGAGAAGCGAAAGCCCCCGGTATTGTGCAGTACAATTATTGCTAAAATACTCTGGCAATAGTCCATCTTGTTAGAAGTTTCTAATTTCGGGAAAAAATCTTATCTTACGATAAAAACCACTTAAACTTTTGTGTAATTATTCAATATTGTATAATTATTCTCTTTTTTGGTTTGCAAACTATTGACTATCTGACCATAATCTTCGGCGCTTTTCATAAGCACAGATTTAAGGTTAAACCCACTTACCCTTTATAAGGAGAATAACCACAAAAACTGCTGAATTCCGAGTCCACTCAAGGTCCGCTTTTAACTGAAAAAACAGCACAACAAAAGGAAGAAATGATTACACTTCATATAAAGTACGGGATTACCTTATTTCACTAGACATCACAGCTAGTTTACAGCTATTTCAAAAAAGGTCGAGTGCTGAATACTGCATACTAAATAGTGCATTCCAAGACCAAAGGGCATTGTGGGTCTCGTTAATTTGAAATAAAAAGTAAATATACAGCAATTAACTCTCTACATGTAGTTAGTAGTTTGTTTCAGATGGAATACACTTAAAATAGAATAAATATTATTAATCCTACTTTAGACAATGTCACTATGACCCACAATGCTCTCCGGTCTTGGGATACAATATTCAGTATGCAGTATTCAGTATTTAACCCTTTTTTGAAATAGCTGTATATAAACAGATATTAATGACAATAAAACAACCGCCATGGTGGTTGATTTCACAAGAGGATTAGGAATCAAATGAGGTATAACATGCGCATGCTCTACAGGGAAGGAAAGGAAATGATTGGGGTCAAGCTTTTATCATACATTCGAACAAGTAGGCTGCAAAATCCGCTCAGCCTATTAAGACAAAAGTATAATATTCACTTTACTTTTATCATTTATTATATATTCTTTTTTGTTTTCCATTTCTTTACAAGCTGTTGTTAAATTGATTCAATGCAAAACGCACATAATAAAGAAAGAAACTTATAAAAAAAAAAAACCAAAAAAAATGTTATTTATAAGTGAATGGTGGGGAGCTGGCTTCGAAAACTTTTGTTACTTCAGCTCCCCAGCAACTCATAATTATTTTTCTCACTATCTATATTTTACTTTCTTTATTAGTTGAAACTTGTTAATTTATCATCTATTTTGTTATTGTAAAGTATATAAAAAAAGTATATATCATGAGTGCAAAATAAAGAAAGAAACTTCACATGAATCCGGCATAGTTTAGACGTAGAGAAGAAATTTTAAATGTTGTTAGAGTTTTATATCATTCATGCTAATTCACAAAGTGCTATTAGATGAGAATAGTAAAAGAACCGGAATAATATAATCCGGAACTTTCCTTTCATTAGCATTTTAAATTATGTTGGGCAGAAACACTGTCAATGGACTTGTGCTGTGGGGGATCTTCCGGAGTCTTGTGAAAAAAGTTAAAACCGTCCCCCAAAAACATCATAGATTAAAAACGCAAAAACAAAGCATACAAACAATTCAAACACTATAATTTCTAATCCACGACAGGTCTGTTTAGAAACTGAAATTTAGAACCGTCCTTTGTTGCGCTTGATCGTGTGGGCTTTTTCTTCGTCAAAGTCGGTCGCCAACATCAATTTTTTTAATGACATAATATTCAAGAATTCGTTGGAGTCTTGTTTGTATTGCAGGGCAGCGTTCGAGAATTTACGATACTGTTAGAAATAGGTGGATAAATTCAAAGAAAAGGTGTAAGAAAATCTATCCAATATCTTATGGTACATATTTCTTTGCATATATCTAATAATTGTAAAGTTATAAGCATTTCATTTTACCTCTATTTCAGCAGAAAGTGAAACTGTTCTTCACTGAGTGAAAAAAAGAATACAGATCACAAAAAGACCCTGGAAAAGACACTGCAGGACAGATGTAGGTAAAAGAATAGAATTCTCGAGAACGGGTCAAAGTAAAATATTTACCATAATCGGATTGAAATAGAGACAAGATACTAAAAATACGTGCTAGCTATCAACACCGCGGTCAAACACCGGCAATCGCTTAAAGTGAATATTTACTTTCAATGTCATGTTATTCCCATATCGACCTAGACAGATATACTGTAATCAAAATGTACGTAGGATGAACCCTTTGTGCTTGGCCGTCTTAAAAGTAGATTTATTTAAGCTAGATTTGTGGTCGAAGAACCGCCAATTACTTTACTGTTCAATGACTGCCATAGCTTTTATCTTGGAAAACCGATAAAACAAATACCGTTTTATTTCAATCTATCGATCTATGTATGCATGTAGGCTTTCTTATCGTGAAAACAGTGTATTTGGGACAGCAAACTGTGAACCTTTTGTTCGGGGCGCACGGCTGACCACATTAGGCCAGCGACATTAGACATTAGACATTAGCCTGACGACACTAGGTCAGCGGCAGTGCTCGTATGATGTTCGGCGGTATCGTTTGATGTAAAAACACTCAAGAAACTTATCCTTTAGTCCTTCTGTGCTTAGCTTTTTGATAGGGTATAAAAACCCAGGATATTAGTAAATTTTCGATTAGTTTAGCATTGGCTTTTTTAAATGCTTCCTTTGAAGGGAATTGAACGCCACGAGACGCGGTATGATGACACCATTTTTTAAAGTTAAGACAAAACTAATTTAAAAAAACTACTTAGTATGAAATATATCAAAGAGACAGCCCGAGGAGCTGGATAGGACGGCGTATATAGATTATCATTAATTTTAAAACATTGTCAACTGATGGCAATCATCTTTGTTTGAATAATTTGTTTTAAAACTTAAAAAAATAACTCCAAAAAAATCTCTTAACTCAAAAAAAAGTCTCGTACTACATTTTTTCTTTATGTAATACTATAAGGAATAAATATAGTGACTGAAATAACAATGACAATGACAGTGAAAAACGACAACGACAACGACAACGACAACGACAACGACAACGACAACGACAACGACAATATATTAAGGTTCACAAGCCAATCTCACACCCGGCCTTTTATTACCACCGTTTTCATTACTACGCGTTGATTGAGACACTAACACTTAGTCGCGACTTAGTCGTGCAACTGCCGTAGTAGTATAGTGGGGACCGCACGACCCCTTTTTTGGACGGGCAAAGAGACGGGCAGGGACGGGCATATTAATTAATCGATAACTTAGCTATCAGGCTATCGATAGCTTAGCTATCGATAGCCAAAGTTATTGATAGCCTGATAGCTAAGCTATCGATTAATTAATGTGCCAGTCCCTGCCCGTCTCTTTGCCCGTCCAAAAAGGGGGTCGTGCGGTCCCTACTATACTACTTGCCGTCAATTAGGGTATGAAGAATTATCGAACAATTTATTTGAATGACAGCAGTGTATTGCCAGATCTCCCTGAAGCGACTGTTGACTGTTGCTCTATCAGCACGTAGCAATGAAATGAGTGGTAATAAGAGTGCGCGCCTCCTGGCTAGTTAGTTAGTTCAAACATAAGTTGTTTAGATCTTCCATTTATTAGGTTGTCCACTTAATCCGCGCCACTTTTATACGCCCTTTTTGTCTAAAGCAACCGAGTCAGACGGTGATTTGATTCTAAAAACCCTTAGGGCTAAGCCTTTTATTGCTTGATTTGCTTCATTCCTATTGATATTCAGTCGCTTCTTTAAAAAAATATGTAAGTCTTCTTCCAATTCTTTGTATTTCATTTATTTTTTTTACGCTAATGATTCGTATGGTCAGCACAGACCATTCACTGTGGCACTTTGCATCAATAAACATGTTTAAATAGAAAGATAATAAATAAATGATAATAAATAATAATAATGGGATTTAAAAGTGGATTCCACAGAGCCGCTCTTTTTCCACTGGATTCCAATTGGAATTTAGAAATTGATTTTTTCGGAGGGAGGAAAACCGGAGAATCTGAAGAAAAATCCTTGAAGCACAGGAGAGAACTGACCAACAAGCAACTCTTCTCACACAAAACACCGAGCCCATCGGGACTCGAACCATTGCATTGGTGAGGCGAGCGTTTATTAATTTAATGATCAACGATTATCGTTGTTTATATTTTAAATAATTTAATCGTTTTTCCTGAATTCATTTAACACCCATTCTGAAGCCATAACCATAATACAGCTTAAAACCTTGGCTTCCATTTGCAATTATTTGCCTTCCTACTATTATATTATTATTAAAAATACCTAGAGCTTATTAAAATGATTTCGCTCGTTCTAGGGCGAGACAAAATATTATTACTTAATTAGTGAATTATTATTTATTCTATTATTATTTATTCTATTATTATTATTATTCTATTATCATCCATTCTTACCTATTTGTAGTATATAAGGGGCTGGACAGCAATTGGGGCGTTGCCCTGTGTTAGAGTCTCCGTTATTTTCTATTGACTAAATATTAATAAACTAGACTAAAATACAAAGACGAGAAAAAATGTCCACTCGTATTCAACCCTAAAATGTCTAATAAGTTATTTATTATCCAACTGAAGGCTTTAAAACAAATATTCTTGAAAAACTAGTTTTCAAAACTAGTTTTTTTACTGTACAAAATAACCAGTCTTTCTCCTGCATTATTCGTACTCTGACTTGAATATTTGGATAATAAAGTGGAATACAGTATAATGCGATAGATTTAAACGAGGAGCTTTATGAATTTGTGAGACTCAGGTAAGTGCAGATTGTCAGCAGATGACCTGAAATACTCAACCCCATGCCTGAGCACCATTAGCAGTTGTTGATATGTAGATTTATCTCTTGAGAACCGGCACTTTTGAACTCTTTTTGTCTTAGTAAAAACAGCACGTAAACCCTTAGCGGTACACTAAGGCTACTACACACTACTGATCAACTGATGTTCATATTTATCAATAAATAACTGGTTCTGATCTTAGGTGAATGTGTTATTTAACGAGAAACTTTATTAAGAACTGGTTCAATATGGTTTAAAAACCGATGATAAACGAAGTATGCATTGACTCAGTGAAGACGATCAAGATACTGCTTTTGTAATGCTGCTGCTGTTGTTTCTTCTGCTGTCGTTGTTATTGCTATTGTTGTTGCTGTAGTTGTAAACGTCGTTGCTGCTGCAACTGTTGCTGGCTCTGCTTCTGTGGTTACAGTAGCTGAAATTTGCTACTATGCATTATTGCTAATGCTGGTGCTGTTGTTGTTGATATTATTGCAGTTGTTTCTGCTGCTGGGAATGCTGTTTTCGTTGTCGTTGACGTTAATATGATATTGTTTTTTTCCTGCTACTGTTGTTATTCATGATTGCACAGTATAAACCGTTTTTGTCAGTTGCTTTTGCTGTTGTCATTGCTGCTGTTTTCCGATCGCTTATCCAAACAATTTTGTTTGTTCCTGATCCGTGGTGTTGCTGTTTTGCTGCTGCTTTTGTATTTTTCGAATTGGCTTTAATTTTTCCTCAAGGATTTTAGTAAAAAATCCAATCAAAACGGAATTAAAAAAAAAAAAACATATTAGCCGCGGGGTGCTACACTATCAATAATCAATCATACGGTTTGAAGCAATTTACTTGAATACATCTCATTAAGCGTAACGCACGAGATAGATTACCATGACAAAACTCATCAACCCGCGGACTTTTCCGAGATCGAAAAACAACATTGCATAAGGCATGGTGAGCAAAAGGTGTTTATTTACGTCACTTGCGTTACCACAATGCACCATGTTGACTATCTCTGGTGAGCTAGACGATTAATTGGATCTCACTGAAAAACCTCTCTGAGACCCCATACTTGTTATTTTAGTTGAGGGTGTTTTCCCAAAACGCTCATACGAGTACAGAAAGTCAATCATAAAAATCGGGTTTCTTCAGTTAAGGGTTATATCAAGGTTGAATCAGACCCTTACGAATTAAGGTAAAGTATTTTGAGTCGATATACTTCGTCCACGACGCTTACATTCGGTGGGCGCTATGCCGTCCACACCTTCATCAGTGGTATGCAGTATATTATATATAGAGAGGGTCAGAGTCCTTGGATTGGGAAAACGTGGATATACAAGAGTCACAGAAACGCCGAACAGGTTCTCCCGCTTACCAAGACACACCTTATACGTTACGGCTAGGGTAAATCATTGATTCCATCTGACAAATGATCAAAGGCCATCACTTTATTTAGATTAATTTAATCTGAGGATTCCTTTCAACCTCTCGGTTCGCAGGTTGCCGAGACTTCCAAATCAAATAAATTTTCCTTACCTTGAAATACTCGACTACTCAACTCCTCTATTTTAACAAGTTATATTTTTCTCTTTAAAATCATAGAAATATTGGACAAGAAATACTAAACTGTCAAAAAAGGCAAAGCAAAATATATTCATTTACGATTCAGTGCATATATACTTTGACCTAATTTGAGCGATACTAATTCCTACTAACATCATGGACTTAAACAGACAGAGAATCCAATATCTAGACTTCCAAACAAATCATCCATAACTTCCTATATGAGCTCTTTGTAATGAATGCGTAACGTCAGTTGGGTGTCGATTATAATCATATCAACACCATTACTTTCGTGCTTTTTTTAATTTGTCTTTATGTGTTTAAGGTATCAGTGAAAAAGCGCATCCTCTTTCTGAGTCATGAGTGAATTCGAATTACCACTCAGCGGAAGCCATTAGAGAATCTCGAACTAATGATATTATAGGTTACTGTTGGTTATTAGTGATCAGCTATTCTGCTAAACATGGCGGGTCGTAGTTCCCTTATTGATGATGACGATGTTGATGATGATGCTGATAAACTTATGATGAAGATGTTGACGAATATTTTGATGATGGTGACATGTTGTTGTTGATCAAGGTGCTGTTGAGACTGAGTTCTACTAGTGATGGTAAAAGTTGTATAGTGATGCTGATGCGCCAGGTGTTGATGATGTTTATGGCGATGGTAATAATGATAAAAATGATAGTGATAATGATAATGGTGATGCCGATTGATGTCGATGAAGATGTTGATGAAGATGATACATGACGATGACGATGATGATGATGATGGTGATGATGCTGATATTGTTGACGATGATCATGATCATATTGATGTCGATGAAGATGTTGATTAAGATGATGATACATGACGATGATGATGATGATGGTGTTGATGATGTTGACGATGATGATGGTGGTGGTGTGATGTCGTAGTTGATGTTGATGATGGTGAAGATGATGAATATAATGATGATCATAATTTGGAGGAGACCAGTAATTATATATGGTGGTGATTCATAAWAGTTGTTCACCCATCGCCGGGCAATTATACTAATATAGTAATCTACTCCAATTAAAAATCGAATTAACAATTATCTCTGACTTTAATCAGGAAGAAGTAACCAAAGCCCTGATAGTGTTGAGAGGAAATACATTAAATACTATCTTCTAGCCGGAGAATACAGAGATCATGTTCCGGTGGCAACAAATAGACCATTTCACAGATCCCGCGGCTAAACTCAGCCTCGTCAGCGTGTAATATATTCTTTAGAAATTGCCTACAACCTGTGAATTTTTTAAGCGTTTCAATTGTTCGTTGATGGGTAAATTCCCTTTCATTACTGCGGACTGTAGTCAAATTCTAAAGAATAATTACCTATCTTAATTTGGAGGCATAACAGTAATATACTAACAACTCGCTCATGACTGCAGGCAGCAATGCTGCTAATAGAGCCTTAATATAAGTGTACAGCCTGTAAAGTCTTCCTCTCGGGTTACAAACGAAAAGCGCATCAAAACAATTGTGAAATGCGCATTCTACATACACATATTGACATTTAATTGAATATCAAGCGCATTTCACAATCGTCGATGCGCTTTAAATTCCCACTATTTATCTACTTACCAACCTTTTCGTATACCTATACCCACTCACCAACCTATGACCCACTATCTATTTTCACCTCCTTCTAACTTATACTACCAATGAACCTAAAAACGAAGGCACCATAGTAACTAAGTTGGTTGATAATTTCATTCATGGCAATCGTTAATACGAGCTTTAAAGAAATCACTATTTTCTTAGCGATTACAAGTACTTTGGGGTGCCACTGATAGTAAAGATTTTTCAGGAAGATATTAGTACAAACTCCTGTCATCCAAAAGTGGACTTAGCAGCGGTTCCAAAGAGTGGCTCTTCATTTCCCTAATCCGCCAATCCAAATTAGAATTCAGAAGTGTTGATTTTTTGCAGAAAGAGGAAAACCGAAAAAAAACCTCTAAGAAAGCCTTCGAGGCACAGGAAAGAGATTAGTGACTTTTGCAAGAAGCTCTTCAATGCTGGGCGCTGCAGTGTTTTGTCTTGAATAAAAGATGCTCATCACACAGCTCACAGGAGCTAACATGAGGTAATCGGTTGCTATGGGAACTTGTTTATCCCTGGACTATGCTGTTCATATCGTTGAATGAATACAAGTTTTAATTAACGTCGACAAGTTAGAGTAGGGTGTTTGTCTCAGATGGTCGTAAACCTCCGTGTCGATCGTTGGTTCTCAGTAAGTAGCTTTTTAAAAGACACGTTTTCTATGACTCGTGATAGCAGCATCAATTCTTTACCGAACCGATGTTTGTCGATGATTAGAACCGTTTTGGCAGAGCAGTTCTGTAAGTATCTTTCTTTTGTCTTTTTGCTTACTTTTTAAAAGTATTTTCCAAACTTTTGACAATATTGGTTTCGCAGATATCTCTAGCATGAGGTATTGAATTTTCTAAAAAAGTCAGAGCGTTGGATCATTGGTTTGACGTTCATTTTCACAATGACTTTGCGATTTATACTGTCCTAGTTTTTGTCATGAGCGAGTGCCTAGACTCTAACGTTTCCCATTTTTATGAATAACAAAGACCGAACAAGTGTCTTTTTACGTTTTAGCGTCGGGTGAATCCCTTGTTGGATTAGCGCCAACTGAGCAGAGTGTAATTTGTGAATCCAGTCATAAGTTTGCAGTAAATCATAAAATTTCCGACAAAAAGGCGCCCAATAGTGGAATAATCGCAAAATTTCCATTCGTGTCACGGCGGCTAGAAGATAATAAAAGGGATCTAAAGGACAAACTAAGTAGTAAACTTGGTTTTTGTAAGCTTTTGGAAATGTGTTTAGAACCAAAGTCTTTGAAGCAATTTCTTAGAGTCAAAACAGTTTTAACCCTTTTAACCCTTGTCTTTATAAATAAAATAAAATGCAATAAAAAAAATATAAACAATCTTTACGCTTTTCATTTTTCGGGAGACGTTGACTGTAATTACTGTCTATATAGCATTATTACTTTAATAGTAGAGTGAGAAATTATGCAGTTTCTAGGGTAATTCTTATGGTTTTATTACGATTTCTAATTGGCATTATCTTGCCTATCTACAACTATAGCCTTAACCATCTGGTCGTAAATAAGAACCGTGAACCCACTGACCGGCAGACTTTCAAAACACTTGACTAGACTCAGCTTTGAAACGTGATAGACATCACATTGGAAGTAATCAATTCTAAGACTTTTCCTGCTAGTAATTATATTCTGATTACTCCGAGATAATGACAGTATCTTTGTGAGCAACAAAAGACCTGCAGACGTGATAATATGTTACCCTGGTCAAGGTGGTGGAAAGGTACAAAGAGATTCGTGTATCACAAAGAATCTTAGGCAAAATTCACTCCTGTTTTGTCAGGTACGTTTGACTAAACACACGCGACCACAAATTTTTCAGGAAAAAAAATTCAAAAAATAATTCTTCAAAATTGCACTTTTCATGTTCATTCAACTCGTGAGGGATATTATATTACCTCTCGTATTGTTTGTGCCAACTCTTCGATAAGCGAAATAAAACGTAGGCTATTAAGTTTATAATAAATTATATTTTTTTCTTTTCACGTTTCGAGTTCCACGTGCTTAAGAAATTTTCGCCATAAAGATAGTAACTGGTATTCTGCGACTGTTATCTGATTTTGGCAACTGAATGCGATGAAAAATATCTTTTTAAGGCTTATTTCCCTCCACATTTTCAATAATCGAGAAAAATGATTTCAAAGAGATTACAATTGAATAGAATACAATTGAATGTCACGCGACAAGTACGACTCTTCTTTCCATACGAAAAACAAAGTTGCTTTAATACCCATCTTAGAGCGGGGAATTTCTTTTCTTCTGAACTGTTGCCACAACTGCTAGATTCTAATTGTGAACATTCCTAATTAAAAATCAAAATTACCCATGAATTCACGGTAGTACATTTTAGGATAACGTCAAAATCCATTGAACATTTAATGGTTGGTCATTTGTGATAGCTTCAGGCAATGGGAAAACATTTATCTTAAGAAAAATAATGGTTTAGCAATGTATTAGGCGTTATTGTTGTTGCCAGTGATGGAGTCAATATTTGGTTTGGGAGTACAACGGTCATTAGCATTTTAAAGTTTATCGGGGTTTTTTTTTTTTTTTTTTTTTGGGGGGGGGGGGGGGGGGTGCAGTGAACAAATGAGACAATGAATAAATTGTGAACGTTTATTTATCGTACATGTCAACAATCTGTATTACACAGCGTGATGCTATATGGTATGATTTCGAATAACGTTTCAAATAGATTAAGATAGAAATAGAAACAAAAAACCACAACATTATTACGATTTTCCCTATTCTTTGGGTATTCGTGGCAAAAATGGCGTGTTGAAGCGATATTTCGTGAATTGCCTCAAGAGTTGATTGGGAAACTCTACGACCCCAATATCTCTTGAATCAAACTATTAAAGCTTCAGTAATGTCTTTTGCAGCAAAGCGGATAAAGTTCAAAGCACTTATCATCTTGGTATGGAGCTGTATGGCACGTGTCAGTCAAGTTCTGAAGTAGTTTTTTCGATCATTTTGGTAATCGCCTCTGGTCATATTAAAGCGAGCTTGTCGACAGTGACAAATCGCCATAAGCCAAAATTACGAATGAAATATTTTCCCACACAAGTCAATTTTGAAGTTTGTAAGCGCTTAAAAACATGACATTTCTTAAGATAGTGGTTAAATGCCATAGGCAATGGGTATATAAAAAAAGGTTTTGGAAAACTGGATGGGATATATGTATGTGTATAAATATGTATGTTTGTTTTTTGCAGGTCGTGAGCTAGATTCACTAAAGAATTTCTCACGTTTGATGCCACAAAAAGGATTCTGGTAAATACATACAAAAGCATTCTTAAATACTGGCATCTGTGTATTTGGATGCTGTCAAAAAGGATGAGACAAGCAGCAAAGCGGCTCGAGAGTTGCATCGCCAGGAATTTCGAGAACGAATAAAACTATCGTGGATATCTTTAGTTCATCGCTTTGTTTTGTCCTGTGCCAAGTTTGTCAGTAGAACTGCTCTTACTTATGGTTTCCAATGTTCAACGCATCAACGGCAAGCGCAGCCCGTTCAAACTCCGTCTTCAGCAAGGCTAGTATCTACAGCGGGAATCTTAATCTCAATAATTCGACTCGATCAAACTACAATAGACCCACACGAAGCGAAACCGAAGAGGCAATCTTTAGGGCCGGCTTTAGACCGTACGCTGAAGACAAAAGGATTGTATTTAACGTTAGTGGATGTCGATTTGAGACGTGGGAGAGCACACTAAAACGGTATCCAAACACCGTTTTGGGCAGCAAAATGATCCATCGATTCTACGATGAGGAGAAGAAAGAATACTTTATCGACAGGGATCCGTACTTATTCAAATTTATTCTTAATTTTTACCGTCGTGGAAAACTTCATTGTTCACTAGAGGATTGCCCAGCTGCTTTTGAGGAAGAGTTGAATTTCTATGGACTTTCGGTATTCGATGTGGACGATTGTTGTTGGGAATTGGCTACGCCGAAAGAAAAACATCATCTCGTAGAAGAAGATGAAGAACTGCCAGGAGAAGTCATTAGATGCGAAGGCAATACAGACTTATATTGTGAACCAAAATTCTCTTTGAAACAGAAAATATGGAGAACAATCGGCCCAGCAAAAACTACACGGGCTGGCGTCCTTTTTCACATCATTTACGGGATTTTTATATTTATTAATGTTTTAATTGTCACATTGGAAACGGTACAGTGCGAGCAAGGAAGAACATGTGGCGAAGTCAACCACCTTGAGTTTTTTACTGTTGACACCGTCTGCGTCGCTATATTTACGACAGAGTTAATATTAAGATTTTATGTTTGCCCAAAGAAACGAAAATTCTTCAAAGAGTTTCTTAACATTATTGATCTACTGTCTGTGCTTCCTTATTACCTCTCGCTCATCATCGAAAGACTTGGAAGAGACAGCAGTTTTCTGCAGATCCTCAAAGTACTACGAGTCCTAAGAATCCTCAAACTTACGAGAAATTCCCGCAGATTGCGATGTTTGTTATTGACCTTAAGGCGATGTGCTGTGGACATCATATTCCTTTATTGTATATGTGTCTTAGCAATCATTTTGTTTGGTACAACGTTATATTACTTGCAAGACTCGACGGAACCGCGTCAATTTTCAAGCATCCCGGAGTCATTTTGGTACATTTGCATTACGTTGATGACAGTGGGGTAAGTGTCGAGAATATATATTTACTTTCCTATACTCAATCGTTTCTTCTTAAACCAAACACAGTTCTGTACTTATATTTACCCCATTGTGAGTTTTATTAGAGGTAATCTCAGGGATAATCCACTCCTTCGGATATAGCATTCAAAAATAAAAGAAATACTTGTACAATCTCGTAATATCAAATCGTTTTCACTTGCCTAATCTCTTAAGCACTTCCATTTCATTCCATTTTCACTAAACATAATGTATTTATTATTTCAAAGCGAGATAAAAAAAAGAGAAAGCTATCCTCTTAGATGCAATTGTTCATGCACTTAGGCTTTTGATTTTCCCTGTCAATTTTCAATGTTATCAGCTTCTGTTAATCACTTTTTTCGTATTACCCCTAGCTTTTTGCAGCGATAAGACTAAAATTTAATGAAACATGTCACGATATTGGGATTTAAGGAACAATCTAGAATACTTAACACATCTTTCGTTCGAGACAGTAAACCTACAAGCCGGTTTGTCTAGAGTCTTTGCTCTGCAAACTTGCTTTTCACTAATAATTGTAAAGGCAATAAGATTTGGAGTATTCTTAACATACAATGATTACTATTTGTCAAAATCTAATCGATCAATGCCATAAGAATCAAGATGTTTTTTGGTTTTATTTAAATGTGCAATAGCAATGTGACCATAAATAATAGTATTAATATGACGATGGAAAAAAGGGAAAACTGAGATTTAGTATTCTAAGCATACAATCTTTTTTGCTATTTGTCAAACTCTGTTTGATCACTGCCATAAATCAAGATTTAAACAGGCAATAGCAATGTAGCCACGAATAGAATTAAAATGGCCATGGGAAATAAAGAGGGGATAGAGATTTGGATGGAGCATTCTCAACATACATTCTTTATTACTATTTCTGTCATAAATCAAGATTTTCTTTCGTTTTATTCAATTGTGTATTAGCGTTGTGGCAATTAAAAAAATTAAAATGGTTATGGAAAAACGAAGAAAAAAATAGAGATTTGGAGCATTCTAAGCAATTGTCATGCATTCTTCATCAATCTTTGTCAAACTCTGATTGATCCCTGTCATAAATCATGTAGTTCTTTCTTTTTAGTACATTGACTTCGTCATGACCATGAATAACAAAAAAAATGTTAATGCAAAAATAAAGGAAAAAAAAATATCCACAAAAAATCGATGCAATTTTCATCAAGCCTTGAATGCGCGGTACAAAACAGTTTGAATAATTAATGTGCCAGGTATCAGACAAACCGCATATGACGATCACATATGTGCTTTAGGCTCAGGCTAAACGAGGAAACATGTTTCCCTAAATGTTTCCTAAGATGGTAAAACTGTCAGGAAGCATCGGGAAACAATGTTTCCATGGGTCTTGGAAACATGAAATGTTTCTGCCGCACAGCAAAAACATTTTATGCGTCTTGGAAGCAAAATTTGTTGCACGCAGCAATGTTTCGCATGTGGCTAAACTGGGAAACATCGATAAACATGCGCGCGGTAAACATGATTCCTCGTTAAGCCAGGGCCTTAGTACAGATTCAATAAAAGAAGAATCCAGAATGACAAGAGGCGAAAAACACATGAGTACAACTAGCTGTAGCTCGAAATACAAACAGCAAAAAAATGAAATAGAAAAAACAACGGAAAAACAGATAGAACGAAATGATGAATGAAAACTAGCTAAGAAGGAAAAGACTAATAAACAAGAACAAAAAATCTGTCATTTTATCGCGGTAGAAATCTAGATTTTCACTGAGCATAGTTTAAGCGCATTTAAAAACTAAAGGAAATATTAAAGTATGATCAGCGATAATCTTAAAAGGTCTTGCTTAACTTAATACGAGCCTTTCACTTGTCAAAAAGGTATACTATCTCGAATTCTAGGCGCCTTTAGAAACCATTATTGTCTTCTCGCATGATAGACGTCTTTTTACTTACTCGTAAATTTATTAAAATACCAGACACCACCTTCAAATTAAAAAATTTTGTACGATCCCCGAAAGAAAAGGTAAGCTAAATCACAGATCGAACCCTGAAACAAACTACGGGCTAATTAACTGTCACGGCACGGCTAAACCACAGATCGAACTCTGGGTTGATTAAAGAAATGAGGGCACGACTATTTTACAGATCGAACCCTGAAACAAACTCTGGCTGTGACATTCCGCTAACCCAAATAATCGACAATTTAATTCTTCGTTTGCACGTTTAACAAAAGATTTCTCATTAGCATCCATTGTTAACGGCACCACAATGGCCGCCATGCTTTTGTCTTTTAACTCTCTTGGGAATGCTTGCAATCCATCAATAACATACTGTTTTTGTGCGGTTGCGGTAGTACGTAACGTCCAATTTAAACTTTTATCTACAACATTTCCTTCTACAACATTACATACACTTATCTTTATTACTCGAGTTTCACATAAAAGACATATCCCCGACATTTTTTTGTATTCGGTTTTTTAATCCATTTTACAGCATCATACAGCGTCGTATGTGGTCGTTTTGATACTAGCAGTATTGTCTACCAAGTCTTTATTATACCCTGAAGTCAAATGAATACAATAAGCTAGAGGCGACGAAAACTTAAGCAAAGAAATGCCGACTGTAGAATTTGATTGGAGAACAAGAACTACATTAATAAGTCAACTGTGGGAGTTATTYATTAGTATTTTACGTTCGCAGTCGATCCCCTCGGGATGTGATTAAAATTATTATCTAAACTTCATGACTTCTTCGGATTTACTTTAGGGCTTACTTTAGGAATAGATTCGGTTTCTTTGTATTCATCGAGTGCGATTATATATACGCCATTCAGAATCATGAGTGAATATTGTCCATGCAATGTTGTTGGAAATCCTCTTTAACTTGTGTACGCGCTGTCTTTTCTCCTTTTTTTTCTCTCATTCTCTTTCTTTCAGTCCTTTTTCTCACTCACCTATCTCGCGCACACGCTTTTTTCCCTTTCTTTTCTTCACTTTTTTCTTTCTGTCTGTCTTTCTGTCACTTTAGTCTTCTCTTCCTTAATTTCCTTTTTCTTTCTTTTTTTATGCTTTATGTCATATCAATATTGTTCCGAAGCTCGCAGCTGATCAATATTAGGAGTAAAATAATTAAACAAAATGCACACAGTGCAATTCGAACGTTTAAAATAAATGGTTTTGAAGCTGAACATAAAAAAGCTTTCCATCTTTCTCTCTCCCTCACTTTTTCTTTTTATTCATAGTAATGTAGGCTTGCAGGTTTTGTCCTCATCGACATGTCTGTCACGCACGATATTTTGTAGAAATAAATACTTCGATGAAGAATAGGATAGTATCTTATTCGACAAAAGGCATCCGTACGGTTCACATATTTGTACTTAGGCTCGTTAAGTGCATATGAAGCTCATATTTATTAATGAATATCATCATAGTGTGCTAGATAAGCTAGCCAAAAGACTTTTACGACCTTTTTTTAATCATAATAAATTTTCAAGCTCTAAAGGTATCGAAAATGAACATCAAATTTAATGGAAAAAATCAACTAGTACAGAGAAAATGTCTGTTCAGTAATCAAAAAGCAATTAAAATGGAAGCGACATTACGTAACTGAAGAAGCACTTGACAAGGAAGAACTAGAAGAAGGAAGGGAAATGTATGTAGGTTTCTAAAGCCATTTGATATTGCATTTTAATATGAACATAGGCAAGAATGATATTTGACGGAGAACAAAGAGAATTCATGAACAACACTAGCGGACGTCATAGCCTTTTTTTCAATATCCATACAATACCGCTGTGTTCCTTGATAATCATCAGTTCCTTGGTACTAATTTTCTTTTGAGACTTTCACGTGCGCCGGATAGACATGACATAGTAAAGTTTGTACGGTTTTCACCCGTAGAAATAATAGTAGCTTGATGTTTCAGCTGCACGAAATTGATTGCCTTAATCAGAATGAAAAGCGTAAAATCATTACTACGTCATTAAATCAGGGTTAGCCATTCATTTCACCATCAAAATATTTATAAATACTAAGGGTTTACGGATTCTAATACTCAAGTAATGAACGCACGACTTCACGACGTGCACAACAATACGCACATTTGGAACTTCCAAGGACCTTCACTGGACACATGAATATTGTACACAAAAAGATTAGGGCCCGTCAACACGTTTACGTTTACGTTTCAGAAATCAAATTTCCGTTCTCAAAAAAAAAAAAAAAAAATCGTCAAAACGTAGCGTTTTCGGATCGTTTTACCGCCTTCACACATATCCGTTTTCAAAAGCTTGCATTTTTAAGTGGCGCATATTCAGCGGATACGTGTGGACGAAGGCCAATCCACAAAGAAAAAAAATGTTAAAATCTATGCAAATTCGTATGGAAGTTTGAGGAAGCATTCGAAATGCGTTTTACCACAGGAAAAGTATCGCAATATGGCTTTCGTTCAACTACATCTGGAAACCGAAAAAAAAAACATCGGAAAACATCTTGTTTTTAGAACACGCAATAGAACTTGTTAACACATGAAATAATTGGAAGTGCTATAAAAGTGTTTGAATGTTGGCCAGACAAGAAGCAGCTTTTTTGCGATTCAAGATCCAATATATTGTTTTCCAAAGATAATATTTTTGGATTATTTACAATGTTTCATCATAACATTACTAGTTATGAAAATCAAAACGAAATGGATGAAAGAAAAACTGCAAATTTGGCATTAAAATCTTGTTTCGATCCGAAATTCCAGTTAGCCGAATTCCAGTCCAGTCCATCCATGTACGGTACCAGATTTTCCAAAATACAAAGTCAATCAAAATTCAGAATTTATAAGCATAAAGCAAATTTTAGAAGTTGGATATGTTTTTGCTATACATAAAGATTATCCATACCCCATATAAGATTTTAAAAATGACTAATTTTTTCGATCCAAGATCCTGTCAATCGATGTCCAGTCCAATCCCTCAGTCAACGCGATTCCTTATTTCACCTCAAAAAATCATAAAATGCAGAATTCAAACAATAAAAAAATTATACAGTTTATTCAATGGTTAATTCATTTTAACTAATTTATGGCTTTTATTAATTCATTATTTAATATTATCATTTTAGATATGGCGATGTGGTTCCAACGAACATAGCTGGGAAGATTGTCGGCAGCATATGCTGTGTATCGGGAGTAGTGCTACTCGCTCTACCAATCCCAATACTCCAGGAAAAACAAGTACCTTGTACTCTAGAATCCATCAAATCCAGGCACCGACTTCAACAAGAAAAGCGCGCATGCGCAGGAGCATGCGAGACGCACCCTTTGCTATTTGAGGAAGAATCTACTGGTTTTACATCAAACAAGCCAATGTGTTGTTCGTCTTTGAAGCAACATTGCGACAAAGCAAGAAAGGTTTTAATAGAAAGAGAAAATAATGGCTGAATGAAGACCTGATAACCATCTGATGATCATAAATAGTTACTAAATCGAGACAGACTCATAGGAAAAAGCTGGATCCCAAATTCCATTCATCATTTTGAATTGGATGCGCAATTTTTTTTAGTGATGACAATAAAAAAGTTTTGTCCAGCTTCGTTGAATAGACATGATGGTATTAAATACATTTAAAAACTGAAGAATTTCACTCGAAATCTAAATACCGATAAACAAATAACGAAAGAGGGAAAAGGAGTATTTTCAAAACAAGCATCAGGTATTTTAACAGAGGAAGCATTCCTGACATGGTGGTAAATTAATATCAAGTGACGTAGTAATTAATATTGTACATTGTTAGATTAAAGATGAAAGTTTGAAATTTGAATTTACATGACTATTTTCCCATTCTTTTCTTATTTATTTTCTTTTATTTCTCATTTCTTATTAACATACGTTCCCCCAACCCGGCCCCTCGTCATACCCCTACAACCCAGTCTTCCTCGACTACCTCACATAAAGGGAGGCTACTCGGGCTACACAGAATTTCATTAAGTACTCATTACCAACGTATGAGTTTCTGGGCTACATTAATGTGAAATTCAGTCCCTAAAATATTTTTTTACCTTCGAGTTTTCACCGGCAATTCAAACGCACTTCTCCAAAGGTTCAAACGTTATCTGACCACTTTAAGCATTGTCAAGCCAGAGGTTTTCAAGTGGGCACCTTAAAAAGTAAAAAAAAAAGAGTTCAGTTCGCTTTACTAGGTGCGATAGATTTCGTGCACTGAGTCCCGAGAGGAATTGTTCTGGTGGAAAAAAACAATAGCCATATTTTTGCATAAGAAGACGGCCTATTGTTTTATCCCCAGAGTAATTCCTCTAGGAAATCAATGCAAAGGGTCTATAAAAAGGAGCAAAATAACCAGGCCTTCGTAAAGCTAGATGACACATTTTGAAATATAATAAAGCTATCGAAAGTCCAACATTTTGCGTAGTCGTGACAACGCTGAAATTAACCCACTCGCAACCCTCAAAACAATAGTAAGAGTACTGCACACGAAATACGTTTTGCGCACGTTCCGCGCACACGAGTTTGTTGTACCCACACGTTTAAAAATGAAATGAACATTTTTTTTACGCAGATCAGTGGAACTGCTTTTTTTTTTTTTTTTTTTTTTTTTGCTGGCAAAACTTAAGTAGTAGAAAATGGCACCAATTCTATATGAGATCACATGCTAATCCCTTGAGAGTGGCTTGTTCGTTCTATAGTAGCGATTAATCAAGACACGCAATTATGGATAATACTCGAACANGCAGAGATGCAAGGGATTAGCCGATATGGTCTGGGGGCCGGCTGGTCTCTCCCCTGATGCTTCGGCTAGAACATTTTCTTGCGTAATTCGTACACCCAAGGGCAGAAGGATTTAATCGCCGTCAGGTCCGAAGTCCATACGCCGCCTCAGCTCTTCGGATGTCTCGGGGGTATGGCAAAGTAGAATCGATTTTTTTAAGTTTATTTTTTGTTTTTTTTTTTCTTTTTTTTTTTTTTTTTTTGCTGGCAAAACTTAAGTAGTAGAAAATGGCACCAAGTCTATATGAGATCACATGCTAATCCCTTGAGAGTGGCTTGTTCGTTCTATAGTAGCGATTAATCAAGACACGCAATTATGGATAATACTCGAACAAATACTCTTAAATTAAATTCGAAGAACTAAAATGGTCTAAGAAAAAGAAAGCAAAGTCTTTAATAAATTCATTGCTAACCAAAAAATACTGTGGGTTAATGACAGAACATCTGTTTAGATATTTATTCGTAAAGTCAATCTGTTGATGAAAAAGTTAGTTACTTTGACAACCCTTCAAAAAACCCTTGTGGGTATAATTATCTTCTTATTGCTATTTATTGCTACTTCCAAATTAAGACCGACTCTTCCTTTAAATACCAAAAACATTTGTACCGCTGTCTGTAAAATTTGCTTTTGTGTGGTCCTGAATGATGATGATGATGAAATCGATGATTCACTCCTTAAATTGATCGACAAGTTGTGATTGAGAGATACATGACGCCTGTTATGTCATATTGTTTAAGCTAACAGAAAAGAAAAAGAAAAGAAAAAGAAAAAGGAAGAAGAAAGAAAGGTAGTAATAAAAGAAAAGAAACGAAGGAAAAAGAAGTATAGCCGGGGAAAAAGGAAGGAAGGGAGAAAGAACGAAACGAAAGAAGAAAAAAAACGAGACGAAAAAAAAGTAAACTAAGACGACAAACGAAGGAAGAAAGAAAGAACAATCAACCCCTTTACAAGAACCTTTATTTTTCTGCTTAACTTTTCAAGTATCCGATTGCATTTTGTGTCATGATACTAAAAATAGCAAGACGTTTATTTATATTCGATAATAGGTAGCATTATTTTAAAGAAAGAAAGATCGAGAAGGGGACAAATTATGTTAGAATAAAACTACTTTTATTAGCAAAAGCTTAACGCAGTTTGAAACAAACTCTTCATCCCGTTCATTTACATATTCCCGATCCCACCTGTTCAAACTTCTTTATTTACTCAGTTAGTTAAACAATTTTTCCATCTCATGTATATCCTAATCTTTTTTCTCGAAAAACCCAGACCATACTGTTAACTTTAAGATTTCTCTTTTTATAAACTAATTATAATCTCGGTGTTTGAGATCACTGATGTGTTTGATGGCAGAGAGAGCCAATAAAACCTAGCGAATAGATTGTCATTAATTCTTGTTACTTTGTTCATTTGCATTTCGTAATTTAGTCAGTAAGTATATTTCAAACTACTGCCATCCATAAATCAAGGTCAGTTGAGCAAAACGAAGACACAGTCATGAACACATGTGCAAAGATTATCCACTCTCAAGAAAAAGATGTTCAACGAAGAATCACGAGGAATGCTTCACAAAGAGTTCCTACTTCCTTGGAGCAGGATGGATCCGGTTGTCGAGTCAAGATCAACGTAAGTGGAGAAAGATTCTCAGCCAAGTTGCACACTCTTCAGAAATATCCAAACACGTTGTTAGGAAGCCAACTATTATTGTTATTCTATGATCAACGAAAGGATGAGTACTTTTTCGACCGAGACCCTGACTTATTTCGCTTTATTTTGAATTTTTATCGTCTTGGGAAACTACATGTCTCTGATGTTGAATGTCTTGAAGCGTTTCGAGACGAGATGGACTACTTTGGAATCCCTCATTCAGCTGTTGACGACTGCTGCTGGAATATTTTTAAAAAGATTAGGAACCCGTCTTATGAAATTGGCATCCCGAAAAATGATCTTGATGGAAGTAACAAAGACACAAAAGAACTTGGCCGGACAGAACAGACATCAAACCCTGAAACTATTGGCCACAGTATCTCTTGTCCTAAGAAAAGTTCAAAACAAAATCCATACAACGAAACCAGTAAAATAGTTTATTCAGGCAGCGGTACAAAAAAGAAAGACACAACTAAAAGAACTTTAGTTCCCCTTAAGAAAACTTTCATTCAATCCCAGATCAAGGACGGTAAAAGCATCTGTCGCACTTTAATTGTCCAAGACGTTTTGCAATATTTTTACGGATTGCTCATTTTAGCAAGTGCAGCGTGTAATGCAATCGAGACGGTAGACTGCAGAACGAAAACCAAATGCGGTGACTACTATGCACAAGTATTCTTCGCAATGGAGACCTTCTTCGCAGCTGTCTTCACAGCAGACTACGTTATCAGATTCCTTCTCGCTAAACGAAAATGCGTCTTCTTGAGAGAACTCCTGAACATTGTAGACCTCATAGCGATCTTACCATACTATTTTGAGCTTGTTTTCAAGTTTTTGATTGGAGCGTCTGATATCATGATAACATTTCGTATCCTTAGGGTGGTGCGTCTCATGAAGCTCAACCGTAACTCACCAAGACTGCAGGCATTCCTCCTGACTTTACGTAACTGTGCAAGTGATCTTCTCTTTCTTTATTTCATGTTCGCATTCGGTATCTTGTTGTTCGGTGGTGTTATTTATTACGCCGAGAGAAACAGCAGCAACGCGGGAAACTTCACCAGTATTGCACACTCGCTTTGGTTTACATGTGTTACCATGGTGACGACAGGGTAAGTTTATTGGCGTATAAATCGCAACGTCTGTCTGAGAGATTAATTTCCTAAAGATTGTCCAGAAGCAATATTTTGATTGTATTCTACTCTATTTATGTCGCATGTGATTTGACTTGAGTATACACTTGTATATGGGATTTATAACCGTACTAAATGCACTCTTACCATATCAAGAGATCTGTAATGTGTATTACATAATGGCTGGAAAGCCAAACTTGGATAATATAAGGCGCAATATTAAAATCTATGTAAAGAAGGAAGATTGTTATTAAGCTAAGTGATGCGCTTCCTCTCCTGTCCCATGTCAGTCACTCGCGTACGTCACTCGTTTATTCAGTCGGAGTTGTTCCAAAGGTGTCACTGATTTTAATGGAAGTGAAATGAATCAGTTTCGTTTTTGATTTTCAAAACGGGCGTGACATTCCTGTGGATAACAAATCTCTGATCTAGCTATTCCATGGTAGAAGTGGAATTCGGGAGAGACTAAAGCGGAAAAATCACAAATGCTAGCGCGCAAGTATTAAGATCGGAAACTTGATATTCGACCATTTTCTTGTTTTTGTTTGTTTTTAATCTAACAGCTGCCGAACCAGGATGAACGTCTTTTTTCTTGTAATAATAGAAGGTTAAAAATAACTGTTTTATCTAGTTGGATAATGTTACTTGTGTCAGACTCGGCAACAAAATTTGCCCACTTTTAAAAACAAGCACAAACAAGAGTATCCTTTCAGGGCGCCGAGATTAATTAACAATAATTTGCCATGTTCACGATTATTTTCCCTGCAGGTATGGTGACGTCATCCCAGTAACCGTGATGGGGAAGATCTTTGCAGCTTTGTGTGGTTTCTGTGGTGTACTGGTCATGTCGTTACCCATTCCGATCATGCAGGACAAGAGAGCTACCATCGATACACAATATTGAATGACCTTTACTTTGTAAACCAAGCTTAGGAAAACTTAAAATTTTGACTTTCGTAGTATTGAGGAACGAACGAACGAACGAGCGAAGATGGATGTAACGTAGGAAGGAAACTGGCGGAAAGAAAGGAAGGAAAGAAGGAAGGGAAGGGAAGGGAAGGAAGGAAGGAAGGAAGGAAGGAAGGAAGGAAGGAACGAAGGAACGAAGGAACAAATGAAGGAACGAAGGAAGGAATAAACGTAGGAACGAAGGAAAGAACAATCGAACAATCAAACAAACGAACGAGCGAACAAACGAACGAAGTAACGAAGGATGGTACGAAGGAAAAAAGTAACGAAAGATGGAACGAAGGATGGAACAAAGGATGGAAGACGAAGGATGGAACGAATGAACGAAGTAAAGAAAGATGGAAGGAAGGAATGAATGAACGAAGGATGCAACAAAGGATGGAACGAAGGAACAAAGTACTGGCGAAAGATGGAACGATCATTTTAATATTTTAAGACAACTCATGATTTACGTTTTCAGCATTGTTATGCTAGTAGCTTATTATTGTTACCGCAGCTCCAACGTTTAAATCAATCTTAATTTAACAATTCGAAATTTTGGTTATCGCTTCAATTAACTACTTATAGGTATATATATCGCAACCCTATTGTGTTGGAAAGCGAGCTTAGAAATTATGTATTTCGATAAGGGAGGAGAGGGTGTGGTATTCCTTGTCTTACGCCAGGGATCAAGGCCGCAATAGTATTGGTTCTCTTGCTCGTTGTTAATTGTTCACCCTTCAAAGCTTTGTTTCATTTCTTCGGCGAAAGTCCTAAATTCTAGTCTTATAGTTGTTGGATGATTTATTTAATGAAGGAGTAAGTTAATTCAGAACGCGCTGCTACAAACAGCAATTATTTTTTCTTTATTAACAATGCGGTCAAAACTCGTTACATTTGAAGGACCTTCAATTTCTAAAGGATTTATGATTGAACCACATGCACAGGTAGTCCAAGTTTAATATTTAAACCGCTAAAGTGATTACATTATAAATAGATGATCGGTCAAAACTCGTTACATTTGAAGGACCTTCAACTTCCAAGGAATTTATGATTGAACCACACAGGCAGTCCAACTTTAATATTTTAACCGCTGAAGCGATTACATGATAATTAGATGAATTTTAAAATAATCTACTTATCAAAATAAAGACTAATCCATGTAAGAGCTTCGTGCGGAAATTTGGAATATTTGAGAATTGAGATACTAAAAGTAGAGAAAAGAAAATCAAGAAAAAATCATCGAAAAACATAAAAACTAAAGGAATAGAAGTGAAGGGAATGGTTCAGTATTTCAGTTTAAGCTAGGCGTTGCTGTTTTGCTTAGAAACTTAACCAAAATCAAATAATAAAAATATCAAATATTTGTACCTTGAGTTGTTTAATTTGTTGTAGTTATTTAAGCCCAAGATGTGTGGGAACATCCACTGGACATAGGCCTTGCTTTATGATTTGATGAGCAGTAGCTGTGAGCCATAACAAGAAGTCTTGGTTTGTGTGCATCAATAACGGGAAGCTTCACGCCGTCCTGAAATATTAAACAAACAGCGGGAATTTATTAAATGATTTGGAAAGAATTTATTAATCAGTGTTAAAGCTCGGCCGCTTGACGCTGTTGGTTCGCGCAACTTACTCTGGAATATCTTTGTTTAAGATATCAGAGTAACTAAACACCACTTGAAGGGAATTTACCGACTTATCATTTAAAATTGCCAAAGGTATTTTTATGACGGTTAGTTAGTTAGCTCAGATGTGTGACGCTGATCTCCCAGGAAGCAAATGGCGCGCACTTTACCCCCTTTCATCATCGGTGCTCCGTTTTAGGGATATTAAAGCCAAGGCTACACGGACAACAGTAAAATTAAAATAACTATGAAAGGATGCTGATAACCAAACAAGGCTTTCGCGTAACAGGCAGTATAATAACCATTAAGTGGCATTAGTGACATTAGTGCAGATTCACCAGCATTGTTGGCAGTATTCGGTAAGTCTATGAGCTGTGTCATTGCAATTCCAAAAGTCTCCGATAATCACAGGACAGAAAACTATTTACAACAGCTGGAAAGAGAATGTTAAACTCAATAAGACTGTGAAGTTTGATGAAAGTAAGTTCAAAGCTCGCAGAGATGTGAATTTGTAGAAATCGAAATTTTGCGTAACCATTCCTTGATGGCAGACAAACGCCGCCCACCAGCAAAGGTTTTCCGAAATTCACACTTTCAAAATCTTGTCTTTGCAATTTTTGAGCTTTTCCTTCAACCTTCACGGTTTTAATTATTAAAACATGATAATTCAAGCTATGGTTATTATTTTCCCGTTTTATGAATTTCAACTGACTAAAATACTTGATAAAAGCTTTTTTTTTTTTAGATTTATTTATAAAACTGTACTACTCCATTGTGCCCCACAATATATTACTGTATTCGCAAACGAGGATCGCTCATAATAATAAGCTGAAAATGTATCAACCATTGAATAAACTAATTTGTAGGGCTGAATTTAAAGTAATAAAACATTAGGTTTAGTATGTGGAATGGAAGGTATAATCCCAAAAATCATTTGTTTTGGCTCTCAACGTTTTTCACTGTTTTAAAAGATGACATTTGAAAATAAGCAGTTATATTTGCTTTTATTATTGTACGGATAAAACACACACACACAGAGGAAGTGAAAAAGAAATAAAGAGTAGTTGTTGTGTGGGAGTGTGAGCGACTGATGCTTTATTGGCATTCAGTAATTCTGGAGCAAAAATCATTTCTTTTGGCTCTCAACGTTTTACACTGTTTTAAAGATACATTTATTACTAAAGACACGACTTCTACTTGGGAGAGAATCGTACGACCTGCACTTGCTGAGAGGAGGAGGGGTGGAGGGGAGGGGGAGGG